CTCAATTAGTAAAAAGAACCCCTTGACCTCATGTCCGTGAGCCTTCGTGATCATTTAGTCTAAGTGCTAAGGAGCTATTGGCACATGATATTCAAGTCGAATGATCCTTTTGTTCAGTTCCATTTTCTTGGAGCAAGGCTAAATGTGCAGCTCCCTTTGAATTTAAAACCTTGCTAAATTATTTAGTACTACATGCCACTGACTGATTAAATTTTGCAGAGAGTAGTGAGATTGTTTCTCAGGTAAGTCATCACTCAGTTCAGTTTACCACTTAAAATTTCTTTCATTCTCAGTCAAAATACAGCAAGGGCCATCCATCATTATCACATTGTCCTTTAATTTTTCTGTCAGCCTTTGTCAGGCTTGAAACAAAAGCCTTTACATTTTTATCAACTGCAGCTATTGTTGCCCAACTCGTGCTCAGTCATTTCAGAATATCGGTTGTGTTTTTACCAAACAAGTCAAATATTTGCAATAGGTCAGATCTATCTTTCACATAAGCCAGCTAAACCAAACAGAACCATTTCTCATTCCTTTGGAAATGGGGAGTAGGGGCCAAATCAGCAGTGCGAGTAAATTGTCCAGGCTCCCTGAACTTGGATGAATGTCTTCTGCCTTAGTAAGAAGAATGTGGTGTCAATTCAAGAAAGAAGGAGAGACGAACAGGAAATTTTGATCAGGCAGGGCTTGTCAGTGTCTTGAGATGATCTTGTATACACTATTCCGCCACTCATAAACAGGTTACGTCTCTGCCTCTGCTAAAGAGCAGCCTCCAGACCAAGCCAAGAATTGCATGCTCCTCATTTATCCACTGTCCACTTGCAATCAGCCATCAGATTACCTGCTGTCTGCCTTCACCTTGCCAGTGCTTGATGGCATGCTAACAGACAGTAGTGGCCATGAGGAATGCCTTTCTAGAACCTTCTGCCATACTTGTTTCTGCATACTGAACTGTGACATCATGTCTGGTCCTCACTGAAAAGAGAGTTCTTGGCTGAGCATTTGTGTATCAGCTCAGACCCCCCCCTGTGCCGCTAGAGAATGTCTAGGCACCCATCTCTTTCATTGAAAATCCAATTCAGGTCTTACCTATATAACTTGTGGGAATGTAGCATGGAAAAGATTTGGGACTGGAGTCAGTAACTCCCCTGGGCATGAAGTGTAACCCATTTGCTATTTCCAACAACTCTTTTGGAAACAGTTAGTTCTCTGTGCATTGTTTGTATTTCAGAGGTTATGAAAGTGATGGAATGAATACCAACCTTAAGTACATTATTGAATTTTTGACTGAATGTCTGTCAGCAAAAGTTCATTTTTTAAGAGTGAGGTTTCAAAATTAAAACTTTGACTCACAGGTATCTGAGCATGGCTTTTCTACCTTCTTTGGCTCCCCATCTGCAAAATAGAGCTATTTTCTGCTTCACAGGAGGCTAAGGATTAGTACCTTAGTATTACTGAAATAGCAGTCTGGTGCATTTATCTGGGTATGGCTACTTGAATTTAAAAGTTCCACTCTACAACATCTCTTGGTCATAATGATCCTTGGTATTTAGTGGTATGGGTGTCATAAACAAAAGTTTGTTTTCATACGAATGTGTGCAACTAGGTTCAGAAATTGCAAGGCCAGAAAAGGAATTTTCACTCCAGCACGGGTTTCTCAGGCAGAAATCTGTAAATCCATTCTAAGATCCTTCTTGACAGAGAACTCAATAGGACAAATCTATGTAGTCCCTTTCATAGCATGTCTCTGAGCAGCTGCCAACAGGGAGCTCTGGATAGCATAACATATGCCTCACCAGTAGTATAAGATAGGTGTGCCCTGCAGGAAAAGTAGTGACCAAGAAGTCCTACAGGACAGCTGTAATTCCCTTTTCTGGCATGCAGAAGAAACAGCACACCTTCTTTTTAAAACACATTAATTCATATGCCTTAAGCAGAGCCTATGCTGTTGAGATCAGTTTATAATTGTAGTCTGTCTGATTTTGGGAACTGCCAAACCTGCTTACCTCCTACACCTACATGAGAGAATGAAGCGCACTGCATATTACTGCTCTTTTTTGGAACATGCATATTCTGCATTCTGTTATGCAAAAGCATTTTCAAGGCAAAGACAAGTAAAGTTTTCATTAGAATCCATAAATATTGAAAGAACTGATGAAGAGTCTGTCAGACTGTGTAGGACTGGAGTCCCCTATACATGTAAGTCTGTTGAATGTGTGGCTTGGGTGCTTTTCCGAATGCTGATCTATGCCTGGATTTGGGCTGTCTGAAACAGGGTTTATGCGTGGGATATGGTCCAAGACTTGTGAGCTGTTCTTTACACATACATTCCTGTTGCACACTCTCATGTCACAAAAGAAGTGATTCCACTGGGCAAATGTGAACCAGGCATTTCAGAGTCCGGGGCAGACTTAAGATTTCATTGCTTGAGCAATGCAGTGCTCTTCAGGCTGTTGATTCCTGGTTGCTGTCTTGTACTGTAGTCTTTGAGAGCAAGTAATTGTAATGCTGTGAGCAAAGCAGGCCAACTGCAGTCGTTTGCATGGTGAATTTCACCTTACTCTGCTAAGAAAGAAACAAAGCCAAAGCTATTGATTGTATTTACGTTTCTTTTGAGAACATATGTGTTACTTTGAGGCTTCTGACTGGCTGCCATTTTGATGTTTGGCATTAAGAGTTTGTGACTTTGACCGGGAAACTAATTTCTGCACAAGTTTTTTTTTCTGGTCATATCAAGAATGATGAAATCTATCACATCTGTTTTAAAACACTGATGTATCCCAGGTCTTGTTAAGTAGTCTGTTTCCTGGGTAGCCTTTCTTTAAAAATAAGAAATCCTGTTGGAAATACTTCAATCAGAAGTGAAATCAGAAAGCAGTGAACTTGTAAATTCACCAGTGACTCATTGAAGCTATTATGGAGTAAAGTAAGTAGACGGTGTGTTCAACAGAATGGAAAGCACTGTCATAAACTGTAACTGTACTTGCCAGTTGCAGTTAACATGCCATTGCATGAAGTAAGTGATATATTTAAGAAAGATAATTAATGGAACCATAGGTCACACTAATTAGGTTTTACGTACAAGACTGATTTGTAAAGCTTTCCTAATAAACAAGGCTTTGCTCTCCTTATGAAGTAGGTGGGTTTTTTCTGTTTGATTTCATTTGCAGCAGATACCAGGGAAGCAGTTTCCCTTTGTGAGAAGCAATTGCATAGATCAGTACATGTGACATGTATCTTTTTGACATGTTAATTTATTTCTAATGCTTGTTATACTCAGTTCTTTTTAATTATTGTGGTACTCACACTCCAGGTAATGTTACCATTTTTCCTGGTGATTAATGTGGCTACACAGTGGGGTTTTTTTTTAAGCCTGTTCTAATTTTTCTATCTTGGGATTATTTTGTGCTGAGAAACAGATTAAATATCAGTATGCAGCAATTGAAAGAGGGGTCTCATGCCGTTTTCTGATGGCTTCAAAAATCCCCCAGGTATAGATTCCACAGAAAATAGTGCTGGCGTTTTTCAAAACCAGAGGAATACAGAAAATTGTAGGTGACTCAGTTGTTAACTGACAAGGAGACTTTTAAAGTGGCAAAATAATCTGTCATCCAATATGCAGATAAGGTAAGCATGCTAATTTGAAGTCTTGAGAGTAATTATGCAATGCTCAACTCAAGGACCCTGTGTCTGAAATGTGTTCTGTACGACCCAACACTGTAAAGCTCATGAGCTACTTCAGCTTCCATTGATTTCAGTCAGAATTGATGGTACTCGGAGACCAATTGCCTTTCCAAAGCAAGGGAAGACGGATCGTGGGTCAAATTTTTGCTCTTTTATTGCACTGAATAGCACCCTTCAGAAATATTTTCACTGAAATCAGTGTGGAATAGGTTAGTCACCAGCCACTGCTGAGAAACTAGTCCTTTCCTTTTAAACCTACAGTATAAATAATCTGAAAAATGTCAGATACTTTTTACGTCCTTATGGAGGTGCTTTTCCCTAGTTCTCTTCGGGGCTTTTGTTTATTCTTTAAAACCTGCAATCACCTTATAAGCAAAGTGATACTGGTCTTTATTGCTTTTGGCAGTGTAATCAAAACATTTTCAATCTGTACATCTGGTTATGTTCTGCTCTGTACTGGAGCATTTTGCAACAGGCATTGGTTTCTCTGCAAAGAAGCCGCAGCACACCAGAGCTTTTCATATCTGCACTTACCTTATCAAAAGCTGAAAGGGCTTTTAGGGTGCTGGTATCAGGGCTGTGCATTCTTTCTGACTCATTTGCAGGGAGGAGTTAAGAGTAGTATTACTGGCATTTCTGATTTTTAGTTCTAAACTGGTTTAGAGAAATACTGATGTGTGTATTACAAATAAATTTTAAGCATGAAGGATGACTGAAAGATGATTGTGCCTGCTACTTAGGGTAAAGATTTTGAAATATACTCTGCTCTGGATCTTAGCAGACAATTGTGTCTTAAACAAATGTGTGGGAAGAAGAAAAGCAATCCGGAAAAAGCAGCTCCTATAGTTAGTAGCATTTTCTCGCCTTTTTCCTTCCATTGAGTCTGTCTGAAAGTGGGTGTTTTAACATACAGCCATTTCTCGTTAACATGTGTGTGTTTATTTTAGCATGATGGTGTTGTGTTTTATTCATCTCCCACTCTGACACAGCATGTTTCATCTGTATATGGTTTCTAGTGTATGAGACATTTAAAATGGCTCAGTGAAGAAATGGATTCTTGTCACTTAAACAGTCACTCTCCAGATCTATGAAAACTCAGTCATTTTAACAGTGTTTTAAATTCTTTATGCTCAAAAAATGGAGAGTGATATAATGTCAAGAATTTAAGATACTTTGTTGTACCTCTATTAATTTATGTTAATCATGTTTTAATTTAGTCATTTTCGACATTTGTATTTACAAATTAAACCACTGTTATGGTTCTCTTTTGTTTGCATGATATGATTTTATTTTATATTTTTTTTTCCACTCACCAGATGTTTTCAACACTTTGCTTCCCACTACTGTCATCCCCTCCCTTACCACTGCAACAGTCACAACCACTGTAGCCTTAACAACCAGCACAACAACGGCAACAGCCATCAGCACCAGAGGTACAGTATGTTTCTTTGTTATGGCCTGAAAAAACACATTATAAATAGGAAATCAGAGGTTTGATTTTTAAAAAGGATAGAAATTGCTAAAGAGAAGGTTCAAGCACTTTAGTTCAGTATGTCTATTTAGTAGAATAATCCACAGGATGGTACATGGTTAAGAAAGATTTCATATGACCTTGAATAATTTCATTGCTCTAGCAGCGTGTATGTGAACTTTGACAGGATACTTAAATTATTTGTATACATTTGCATTTAATTTTTTTTAAGGTTAGTAAATTAACTTTAATGTGAAATGCAAGCAAGCTATTTTTAAATAAACATGACCTTTTAAGACTGGTTATTTTGGGTGCTAATGTTTAAAACAAGTTAGGTGTCTTGGCATTGAAATTACTGTCGATGCAATTTTGCTTGATGACAAAGAGGCATCACATCACATTACATGATCCTTATTGGTCTTTTGTAATTTAAGGTATTCCTAACTTAGGTGTGTCTATTTCACCAGAACTAGAGTAAATGAGCTGAAATTTCTCACTTCCCTCCCTGCCCCCTATCCTGTCAGGATTTTGTCTTATTATAGCTTTTCAGATGTTTCTAGTGATACTTTGCCTTTTTATGAGCAAAATGTAAAGCTTAATTTTACTGTTGTATTCAGTGACTGATAACTGTTAAATAGCAAATATGTATGTGTACTGTGTAGTTAGTAAATCTCGCATGGTGAATGAAATGGGAGAAGGTTCCTATGGGGTCTGTTGAAGGCTTTCATTGTGTAAGGATGAAGGAAATAATATTCCCTTACCACACTGCAAGTGTTCACATGATGGAGTATAATTATCCCAGGAAAGTTAAGGCAGAACTATGAAACTTTTTCTTTCTGGAAGCATTGTTACAAGTCAGATGTAATGATATACCGCACTTGTAAGAATAAGCTGAGCTAAATGAAACTCCATTCTATAAAGTTTGTGATAGCATCAGATTACCCAAATTCTTCCTCCACTGGGCATTGGTGTTTTAATCCTGTGTCTTTCATATAATAATGTGTCATCAAACCTGAAGTTACATTTTTAAGCTTTAATATTATTTACAGTGTGAAAAAAATTGTTGTTTTAGTGAGAGAGTGTTATAGTAGTCCTTTCCCTCCAGAAAAAAAAAAGGTAGACCATGGAAAACAACATGGTGCTTATGGGTCTGAGTAGCTGCAGGAGGACCATTTCCTCAAAAACAAGCAGAATGACAGGAATGATCATGTCTTTGTAAGAGTGTTATGAGTCAAGCCAGCGGAAGCTTCCCAGCTTTCTAAGGGCTCCAATATTGGGAGGACAGAGTGCTTGGAATGCCATATTGGTATTTGCTCTCCTTAATGAATTGTTTTCCTCTTCTTGTTATGTGGTCGTAACTAAACTGTGTGGTTGTTACGATTGTATGCTTAGTATACTAATGTTATTAAGGCATTGGGTTACCTCTGAAGTGTGGTTTAGGACCTTACCTTCCTTTACTCTGAGGGTTCATTTTCATCATTTGTGTACCTGGCAGCAAGACAAGGATCTGGAAAACCCTCTTTTAATCCTCAGCTTTTACATGTATGAGAATGAAATTTTATGCTATACTAACAAAGAGTTATGGCTTTAAGAGAAAGTAAGTCTGGGTGAAGATGATCAATCACTAGAACGTGAGCACTCACTTTTCCCTGAAAAAAAAGTGAATGCAGCAAAATGGCTGAGAAGATGAGGCCACTTCAACCTGAAGGGCTGGTAGATGTGGTCTTTTGAGCAGATAATTTAAGAGACACAGCTGTGTGGGAAGACTGTTTCTTGAAAAGTTTGTATTGAAATTGCAGTCTATCCCAATACAGAGGAAAAGTAGGACACATGTTATAGACTAATGAAGCTGTCTAACAATCTAAGAAGTCAAAACCCACAAAAACTTGAAAACAAGATTACTATAAGTCATAGAGTATATTGGTGTGGAAGAAACAGGAAACCAGGCAGAAAATAAGAAATAACTAGATGCAACTAGCAAGGTGTGAGAAATTTAACAAAATGAAAGGGTTTAGAAATACATTAGATGTAACAAAATAAAGAAATGTAGTGATCCTATTTGTGAATGATAAGGACAAGGCTGAAGTAATTGGTGTTTTATCCAGCAATGGATGACAACTGGAGTGCTGTTTTCTAATAGGGGTGCCACACTGAAAGATGAGCACAAGTAGAGACAGATCAAAGAACAAGGACAGGGAATTTAAAGATCTGCTCTGTGAGGAAGCTGAAGGCACCAGTTCATTTTGTTTTGCTTTCAAAAAAGAAGTCAGTATGACTCTGATGAAGATTTATTTTCCAAGTTCAGTGGGGAGAATGAAACCAACTGAATTAGTGGCAAAGTTACTCAGTGAGGAAACTTTCTAAATGCAGGGCAGGCAGTGTTGCAGTGTAACTATTAAAGTTCAAGGTTTTCCTTCATCCTAACTTTCTTTAAATATGCTTGATTCCCATAACAAAGGGAAATGGACAAGATGATTTCCTTAGGTCTCTTCCTCTTCTTTCTTGGACCCATAAATAAATAATGTTCACAAACTTCCAGTAAATGTTGTGAAAGCAGAGTCCTGAAATACTAGACTGAACCTTCTCTAGATTGTCAGAGCACCTACATACTAGAGGTATAAATGGCATGAAACCTATTTTGGATAGGATTACATTTTCAATAGTACCTGTTTCAACTCAGCAGAAAGTACCACATCAACATGTTTTCCTTTGACACTTCTGCTTCTTATTCTATATGAACTAGTATATAAGGACATAAGGTTGGGAAGATATTCGTAGTCTAGAGGAGGACCATGAAGACTGTCAGAGGACTGGAGCACCTCTCCTATGAGGACAGACTGAGAGGGTTGGGGTTGTTCAGCCTAGAGAAGAGAAGACTCTAGGGAGAGCTTCTTGCAGCCTTCCAGTACTTAAGGCGGTGTACAAGAAAGCTGGAGAGGGACTTTTTGCAAGAGCATGTGGTGACAGGACAAGGGGAATGGTTTTAAACTGACAGAGGGAAGCTTTAGTTTAGATATGAGGAAGAAGGTGTCCCTGCCCATAGTAGGGGTATTTGAACTTGATGATCTCTGAGATCTATATTATATTTTCAACCTTCAAAACATTTTTTGTTACTGTTATTGGAAGCAGCATTACTCTGTATCTTACTTAATTGGATCTTGTGTGACCATAAAGAAACAGAAATTTGCCTCAGATCATAGAGTATTGCATAGTATTTAATACTGTCTTTGAACTGGATTTCCAATAACTGATATAACAGTCTTGCTGGATAATATCACTAATTCTATTATAGAATTATGACTTGATACTTGCAAAAAACTACAGGTAAATTTTACAAGACATACCGCTATTCTGCACAACTTTTACATAGTTCACCTTGATATGTTGCTCCATATCCAGGCACAAGAGGTATCTTTACAGGAATATGATACAGGATATAAAGAGCCCAGAGAGTCTGTAAATCTAAAGCATTTTACATTGTGATGAATGTACCTTATTACCAAAAACCTGAAGTAATGGGACAAAATTCTCCAAGTCATTATCAGTTAGTTTTGGAACTGTGTAACCCATCCCTGAATTAATTTGCATGGCATTTAGTAAGCAACATGAAAAAAAGCTACTGATTGAGTTGGATGACAGCATGATAATTTGTAAACATGTTGTTTAATCAAACTTTTCACTTTCTCAGACAAACGTATGCTTGCTTTTGTGCTCACTCCTTCAGGAATTCATTATTCTTTCACTGGGACATTACCTACTAACTAAAAGAAATCTAAACACAATTTGATGCCAGTAAGGAGTATTGCTCTTTATGTTTTTGTCAGGACTATCTTAAAGCCTAGTAACCATGATGAGGAATGTATGACAAAATGAGAGTTAAATGTATGAGGAGAAACAATTCTAGAGACTACTGAAAAAATAATTATACACTGTATGAGGAGTTTCCATTCTAGCAGATTTCTGTAGTGTTATTTGTGAAAGCTGTGCATGGATCCATACTGGTATGCTTTTTTTTTACTGGGAAAAGGCGCAGGAGGATTGTGGATTTGCCCCTGGTAGTGAAACAAGGGATGACTCCCATGGAGAAATTCTTTCTTCACATAAAGTTAATTTAGATGATTCTGTACCAATCCTTCCAAGTCCTGTAGGTGGAAAGGAAGTGTGATTAGCGGTCTAGGAGAAGCCACCTTTTCCTAGAAGGAGAAGAGCTGGTGCACAGCAATGTACATGAAGCCCTCCCACAGGCTGGCACTATGTTCATCACCCAGAAACGCACCCTGAGATTTAAATGTGAATCTTTTTCCTGTCAAGAAAAAAAAAGTCAAAGAATAAGACTTTGTAATTTTTATTTATTCTCATTAAAGATTGAAATCTCACCACCACCACCACCGCAAATAAGTACATAAGTAACATTGCAACAATATCCCAAACACAAAAGATAGATTTATTCAGTTCGTTTGCACATATCAGGGTGATTCAGTCCCAGCTGACTCACTTATGTAATGACTGTGCCAGAATGTTCAGAGCTTTATATAGCAATGCCTAAAAACATCTCCAAAAGTCATTGTGTATAGCAGAGATATGATGCTGCTCCCAGGCAGCTGCACTGTGAAGTTCAAGAGTTTATTTGTCAGGGTGACCACAAAGCCAATGAATGTACACATTTATATATGAAAGAAATCCCTGCTTTATTATAATCCACTTTGCTTTTATTGTTTTCGGTGCTGGTATAAAGGAAAGATTGCTTAAATAAGAGTCGTAGAGCTACATTAAGAAGAGTTCACAGTGGATTAAGAAAGGGTTTGAGGATGCAGTCATTCTGAAAACAATTGTGATTGTAATTTAAGTGTGAATATTTCTGTTTAATAGCATAAATTTCAACCATCTTATCTAAAAAGTTGTATTACTTTTTCTCCCATTTTTACTTTGGAGTTTATTGGGGGAGGAGGGGGAAGAAAAAGA